GAGAATATAACTTTGAAACAACATACAAGTTTTCTTATTCCGATGTTTCAATGACCTCGTTTCGAACGGATCATTTGCTTGAATAGAGCAACGAAATATGTAATATCAATGAAATATTTTGTTCATTCTAAATCAACTTGAATTTTCGCCTCTAGATGGCGATCATTTCACCTCGTCTATGCCTGCCTCGAGTTCATTATATACGTGAAGCCTGATTCTTCGTGTTTGAAATATCAGCTGGATACATCGAACTTAGGATGATTAGCAATCCGAAATAGTTTTCCATCAGCTGAATAGAAGTAAAGACTGAAGATCTATGCTAGGAGTCGACTAGTTTCCTAGTTTTGTTCATTCTATTAATGTGAAATTTCCGAAAATTCCCGAATATTGATTGGTTCAACAAAACAATTTGTCGAATGGATATATAGTTTCTCTTGAATCAACAAAATCTTTCATTGAATTAACCAAATATTTCATTGAATCAACCAAATATTCCATTGAATCAACCAAATATTTTTTCGAATCAACCAAATATTTCGTTGAATCAACTAAATATCTGATTGAATCAATATCTTGTTATTTTGAATCAAAGAAAATGTTTGTTTGAGCCAATTCAATATCTCTTCATAAACAATTCATGGATGTGCTTGATTGAAGAAGATCCATAGTTCATGCAAGATATATTTACTCATTTCAAACCTCAAATTCGCTCTGAAACAAGATATAGATTTACTCATTTCAAGATTATATTTTGTCGTGCATATATGACACTTTTATTCGCTCCATTCAATTAAATTTTGCTTGATTCAACAATTTCTTTTTTTTTCGCGTTTGCTTTCAGCGTGATCAGAAAGTATCAATGGCTTATGCAATGTTGCCGTAAGTTCAAAAATGTGATATGCTGAGAGTGTCCATTCTTGAGATTATTTCCGAAAAAAAATCTTGATATTTATTGCATCTATATCGACTACAGAACTTCAAAAAAATTTCAATACCTACCTCCTATCTTTGTGCTCCCTAGGAACGCACGATGTTCTTTGAACATTATAGGGATTCCCTTTAGTGCTCTCCAAGCGATAAAAAAAATACAAAGAAATCGTCGAATTTATACTGATGATGACATTCAATAGACTTCCCATATGCTCAAAATGAAGTTATGATCAGATTATGATATTATTATAATTTGAGAAACTTCATTATTGGAAAAGCTATCCAAACTTGAACTCTTCAATTATAGACGCTCCGAACTTTTCATTATAACCAATAAGTGTTTTGAAATATTAGTTTAAGTTGATCAAACAACGTGCTGTCTGATAGATAATTTTTATTAGTGGAGTTTGATGGAAGTTTTGATCATATAGGGGGCTTGAAATTATATCACAACTCCCATATAATATACAACAAGAGAAGAGAATCATTGACTCAACAAAATACTTCGTCCTATACTTCCAACAACAACAAACTATCCTGTTACTATACACGGTGCTAGAAAAATAAATATATACAGGGTGTTTCCTTATATATGCGCAGGACTTCAGGATGTGATTGCTTGATAAAAAATATGATGCAGAGTTTTTATCAACTTACCCTCTGAAATGCACTATTTCCGAGATACAGGGTGTTGAAATTTGAAAAAGAAAATCGTTTTTTGCGAATATTTCTGGAATCGTTTATCGTACAGGGTGCGCCTCTTAAAATGGAACCCCCCCTTAACTCTTTTGTTTTCGGAGGTATGAAAAAATGTTAAATAAAAAAGTTGTTCGAAACAACCCAAACTTTTATTTCGTGAAGTTGTTTCATATACAGGGCCATTCGTTTTTCCAGAAAATACATCAACTTTGATTTTTTCAATGGAACACCCTATATATTTCCAAAATGTCGATAGAGCTTTTTCTTCTGATTCCAAAAATATATATGAGTTGCATATTCGGATTGAAAATAATTGAGTTATTGATGATCAAAGTTGACCAAAATACCGCTTTATGAACCTTCACTTCATAGGTAATATCATGTAATGTAAGTTGAACATGGTGGGCTTTGGAATAATGTTCATAATTGTTCGAGCTCCATGTTCATTATGAAATTGAAAACGTTCGATTTCTATAATATATAATATAAAAAAAATAATAAAATAAAAAAAAGGGTTACAGTTTGAATGAAAGATGCGAAATTTTGGAGGTGGTGATTTGGGTGATATGAAGAGGAATCGGCAAAAAACATTACTCATAGAAGGGACAGAGGAAAATATATTACTTTATTTCATTGAAGACCCGAGTCGTTCGAAAAGATTAAAAAACAAGGCCGGAGAAGTGTAAATGTCTGGGGAAGTGTTTATAACACACTAAAGTAATTGGTCCCATCTTCATTGATGGCAGTCTTACGGGACAAAAGTATTTGGATATGTTGCAAGGTGATATTGAAAACTTGCTTGATGAAGCAATCCCTTGGAATAGACGAGAGCAATTGGTATGGTAGCAGGATGATGGACCTCCTCACAATGGAATTGAAGTCACGAATTACCTCAATGAGAGTTATGACACTTGGATTGGAATGCAAGGACCAATATTTTACCCGCCCCGTAGCCCGGACCTGACGTCTTGTGATTTTTTTCTGTGGGGAGCGCTGAAAGACAAGATCTATAAACATGATATTCCGGATACTGACTTCTTGAAAAATAAAATAACGAAAGAGAAATTTTTGAAAGTTCTCATATAGTTCATTCAATGAATATTGTTTATAAAGATTCGTTCAAGTTTTGTTGTCAAGAACTCTTGATGATATTTCGACATCTACGCATGCGTTACTGTTATAGTGTGATACCAAATCTATCCACATAATGATTTGTAGTTGATTGACTTTTCCATGGAATATTTTTTCAAAGCCCACTATGTTCAACTATGATATAAAGTGAGAATTCATGAAGCGATATTTTGGTCAACTTTGATCATCAATAACTCAATTATTCTTCATCCAAATATGCAACTCATTTATATTTTTGGAATCAGAAAAAAAAGCTCTATCGACATGTCGAAAAATATATAGGGTGTTCCATTGGAAAAATCGAAGTTGATGTTCTTTCTGGAAAAACGAATGACCTTGTATATGAAACAACTTCTAGAAAAAAAAGTTTTGGTCGTTTTAAACAACTTTTTTAGTTAAAATTTTTTCATATCTCCGAAAACAAAAGAGTTAAGGGGGGGTTCCATTTTAAGAGGCGCACCCTGTACAAGAGACAGCTGTCGTGAGCATTTTGTACATTTGTGCGGATTTTTTCATTTTTAGGTCATAATTGGTGAAGATTTTGATAGGGGAAGTGAGTGTTTTCCTCCCCAACTTCTACGCCACTGGAAAAAGTACAGTTCTGAGGAATCCGTTTGAATTGCCATCAATATTTCCTACACAAAAAAGTTATTCTTGGTCGAAGGCTCTGAATTCAATCGTTTTCGAGAAAAATCAACTTTCATGTTGAGAATCATGGTAATTTTTTTAAAAAATTGCTACAACAACAAGCAACAACAATTATTAATTTAACTGAGTATGATTTGCTATTGTTTTTTTTTTCAATTTTGTAATATGACCCTTTGGTTTTGTTACTCGTTCTGAGATTTAAATAGATTTTGTTTAATTGGTAAAGAAATTCCAAAAATGTTACCATGATTTTCAACATGAAAGTTGATTCATCTCAAAAACGGTCAACTTTAGAGCTTATGAACACGAGTATCTTTTTTTGTGTAAAAAATATTGGTTGTTCGAATGGGCGGTCCAGAACTGTACTTTTTCCAGTGGCGTAGCAGTTGGGGAGAAAACTATCCACTAACACTTCAAAATTTTTAATAATTATGACTAAATAAATTCCACACAAAACAGCCTATTATGAGTGGAAGATGCTAATGAGAGCGAACGGTTCCAGAGATATTCGTAAAAAAATGATTTTTTTTTAAATCTCAACACCCTCTATCTCGAAAATGGTGCATTTCAGAGGGTGAGTTGATAGAAACTGTTTTTTCATATTCTTCGGCGAGACATCAGATCCTGGAGTCCTGTGCATATATCATGAAACACCATGTATATTGAACACAGCAAAATATGCAAAATTGTTATAGTCTAACAAGAATTACCAAAGAATTAGATTTCTCCTTGATCTTACCTATCGAGATAAAAAGTTTTTCAAGGAATTTGTTGATCTACCTGATTCAAGTTTAAACAATCGATCACCATATTGGCATCGATGAACAATTCTGTGCTTCAGTTGGGATGAAGAATGAATTTCGGATTGCTTATACAGGGTGAGTTATGACTATAGGGACATGGTGATAGGACCAGATATGTCTCGATGAAATATTGCTGTGGAAAAAGATACAAGGGGTTTTGATCTAAGAAATATTGACTATGAACTTGCACTATTGCACTAAAACCCATTCACAGACAAGAAATGTGATTCATCAGCAACAATTATTCAGTCCAAAGCCCACTCTTCATGAATAGAATTTCATTTGAATTTTCCTTCCGTGACTTTGAACTGTCCAATTGCGTTATTCAACTTTGACGCCCTGTATCTTTTGCCACAGCAATATTTTATGAAGGCATATTCGGTCTTATCGCCATATTTCGGTCGAAACAATCCACCTTCAGCCTATGTTCTGATAGTTATGACTCACCCTGTATATTCTTCTGAACAAAGTACTTACACCTGAATTCTCAAAAAAATCCGAATGGAATGAAAAAAAAACGAAATCTTTCGACTACATCCTGACTCAACCTGTATATTTGGATTTTTTCCTACTTATAGTTGATATAGGTGAAAAAAATCACCATCTGTTCTCCCATGTTTATTTTCATTGGAACAAGAGCCATACGGAGTACCTAAGTGATATTGAACTAAAGAAAAGTATAGTGTGGTTGTGGTAATAGTATATTCTCCCCATGTAATTCATAGAAAATCATAAAAACTCATCCATTCAGGGATCAGGAATTTACTTTCTGTAATAATAAGGTTGATTGTCATTATTTATTTATCTTTCAGGTGGACGAGTCTCATCGATAGTTCGTCTACTACTAATGACTGCTTGTTGAATTATTCATATACAAAGTGAGTTCATCATTTATTGCTTTATACCGTAGCTGAATGAGAAACTTTCCTATACCTGCTCACGTATTTTCATCTGAAAAACACGAATTTTATAATGAAAATGTGAACAAATCAATATTTATTAGGAAATTTCACTTTGAAGTTACAAATTTCACCTTCTTTTCCGCCTGTCTTCATTGCATTTAGAACAATTTACCCTTTCTTTCATCATTGGACAATTTACTGTATATCACAATGTATGACACATTTTTTTCTATCATATGAGTCAACTAGGAACATGATTTTCTTGTGATTTATCCATATTTATGGAAAAGAAGGAAGAATAAGTATCATTTGAATTAATGGCGTCTGAAATGTCATTCAAAAGCAATCTGTTGACATTTGACATCAATAATAATAACAATAATAATGATGATAATAATAATGATAAACGCCTTCATTGCTTCCATATGTAAATACAAAAAAATACACATAATATGAGGTTGACATGAAAGCAAAAGGTGAAGTTCAGCTTGTAAAATGATTTAAAATCAGCTTACAAACTGTTCTTCCACTTTACCTCCAATATATCGCTTGGTGTAGGTATAGCTCAAACAGAACAGAAGAGAGAAAAAAAAAACATGAACAATTCATATACATTAATAATTATAATTTCAATCGCACGGATATTTTAGGGTTGCCTTGAAAACAAATGTTTCTTGTATACCTTCTTGAATCTTTGTATACTCTGAGTTTTGAACATGGTGGGACACATATTTGATAGGTAAAACCGTGCCTGGAGATTTCTACTCTGAAAGATGGCGGCGAGAGGGTTCCATTATATCGGATATTTAGGTTATGTATATCGGATCGATAGGTAATTTTTCTGTGCAAATATAAGGGTACTTTATTGAAGATTATTTTTTGAAAAAGAACAGCATGTAACATCCTTCTATTGTTCATATTTAGCCAACCATTATCATTCAATTTGTGTGAGATATGTTCGTATCTCTCCTGCGGATACCAAATATTAGTCGTAAGTAAGAATTCTGCACTTTCTGCACACATATATAATTTCACATTTATTGAGAGAAAATGTCTAATGCCATATATAGTTTTGAGAGTGGAGTATGCACTTTGAATAAGTACATTTATGTTTATTTCGAACTTAAGGTCAGACTCCAAATATCATGCCTAAACTTTTGGCTTCACTTACGTTTTGAAGAACTCCATACATTATTACAATACGCACACTATTAGAAATCTCATCTCGTTTGTTCTTATTGCCGAAAAGAATTACATTAGATGTACTACAATTGATGCTGAGGCAGTGATCCTCTGCGGCTTTAATGAAACTATTAAGATCCTCATTGATATGGTCAGCTGACTCTAGTACCGCACTGGGGTGGAACCTATGATAAAGTTGAGTATCATCCGCATACATGTAGATTTTTTACTAGACAAGAAGTATATATTGCAAAGAGCAATGTCCCCAAAATTGAACCTTGGGGGACTCCACACTTCGAACCCATATAACTGGAGGAATGTCCATCGACTACAACCATTTGTTTACGATCACAAAGGTGAGATGCTAAGAGATTTCTAGCATAATTCGAAAGCTCTATGTAATGGAGAATTTCTAACATCAAGTTATGGTTGATGGAATCGAAAGCTCTACTATAATCAAGCAAGACCAGAATAGTACACTCTCCTTCGTCTGAAGCTCGAACCACAGAATACTCAAGTATTCTGTGCTCGAACAACATCATCAATAATATTGATCAAATGGCCGTCATCTGGTGTGCTTGTTCACTAAATATGGAAAACTCGCCATACAATCGTATTTCCTGTTTCTGATTTGCCTGGCTGGAATTGGAGCCCTGGAAGAGAAGGCGGTATGGAGGGTAATATCATCCGCGAAGCTGTGTACTGTACATGGAGTTGCTTCCTCCAAATTATTGATGTGGAGTAGAAATAGTGTTGGTGCTAGAATTGATCCTTGCGGAACACCAGCATTCATGATAAGAGAGTCAGATGAAACTCCGTCGACCACTACATGGAGAATATTCCTTTTCAATATTTGTCAGTTATCTAGTCATAGATCATTGTTGAATATTTCTTGACGAAACAGAAGACGCCGATTCCAGTGGTGTACGCGGATTTTAAAAAAAAATTATCGCTAATATTGATTCTCGATGTTTCAGCCTCTGAAAGTGATCTAGTAGGCCTTGGTTCTTGAAAAGAGTAAGCGACTCTTGGCTCCAGAATACGCATTCAATGCCTCCACATTCCTGAAAAAAATTCGTCTAAATCGGCCCACAAATAAAAAATCTTTCAAATGGGTCACTGTATATAGGTACCTAACGAGAATCATTTGATTGTTTATGTTTGTCACTCAGGAGGTTGTTGATTTTTCATTCATTTTCAGTTCAGGCTTGTTTATATGATTGAGTACAAACAGAATAACGTATCATACATATATTCACACTGAAACCTGGAATCAATTCTAATACCAGTCCAAGTTTGGTTGTAAACGTGAAAAATATAACTGAGGAAAGACAAAATGGTGGCATTTGAGGTCAGACACGCAGTATACATATTTTCATTATGTACATGTAAGTTCCGGGTGTGTTGAATAGGAATCTACAGAAATTGTTTGCATTCTATTTAGAGTTGTGAAATTGATGGTCTATTTCTTGATGCTGAAATACCTCTAACAACCTAAGGTGAAATGTTGAACATCTGTCTCGATTAGCATTGAATATAAATAAACAATGTGAACTGACCAGTTCTAAACCAATGACTGATGATTGCACTATAATTTCCACTTAATAGAAATTCTTGTAAAACAATGTGAAATATTTATGCAAACTCAATTCTCACGTTTATTATAAAGTCACTGGATGTATTATCATGACACACAAATCGAAACACAACTGATTTAAACTTTACTGAAATAGATTCAGACTATTTCGAGATGGACGTGAGCTGTCAGTTATTTCTGTGAGATTTGAAACAATACCACCTGATTCCACCTCAGATATATGTGATACAGTTCTATTTTTTGGGAAGTCCAGTCTGGCGAGTGATGATGTTAGCTGAAGCCAGACACAAAAAATCTGAACCATCCTCATTTTAAAATGATACGACTCTACTGTCAAAATGTTCGTTTTATTCAGGGTCTTTGCGATTAAGTTTAAGTGACAAATAATCCAGGAGTGGATAGAACAAACAACTGAAGAATAAAATCTCCTCAGGGTGCTAAGCAATGAGAATCATTTCAAGGGAGATAGGTACTGCTACGGCTATGACCGCATATTATGCATTGATAGAATCTCAACTGAGATATGCTATACCTTTCTGGGGGGTATGTAACTCCAGTATGCTGGATTCAGTACTTAAACTGCAAAAGAGAGCTATTAGATATGTGTTCAAACTAGGACCACGCAATTCATGTAGGCAGTTATTTGTAGAGAAGAAGATATTGACAGGTGTGGCTTCATTCGTTATGGAAACTGTATGTCTTATACACAAACATAGTTCAAAATTTGTGTGTACTTTGACTATATTTATTTTTGTACTGTTTATCTTCTACTTTGTCAACAAAACTAGATTTTATCGACAATAAAGTATATTTTGATTTGATTTGATTTGAACGCGATAAACACTATACATTCCAGCATTCCAGGTATAGCTATAGGAAGTGTTCACTCTTTGAAGTTGAAACAGTCAGCCGATATGTACAAATGATGACCACTCACAGTAATTTTCCTAACAAGTGCGGAAAGTGATTTTTCCCGCACGCGACTGCCGTTGACACGAACGACGCGAAGCGGAGTTCGGGCAAGCAGTCGAGTGCGTGAGTTAGGAACAATATTCTTTCTACAAGCGTAGGGAATTGATTGATTCGTTCATTTAATTGTTCATGCAAATAAAGAAACAACTAACAAGAGGAATATATTCTCTATCTACTAATTATTAGTCATAGCCAGTGTGAACTTACAGTTTGACGCATTATGTAGGTTTATTGCGGAAGCCATCAAGGTGTTTGGTCTCTGGGATTCAGACACTTCTAAGAAATGAGCCAAACATAATTCTTTTTTATTCGGCATTTTCATTTCTTTATTTTTGCACCATTCAATGAATCCCGTCTAGTGCTTCTCATACCTTTCTTAAGACTTCGTTGGCAATAACGCATCTGTATCGCATCCCTATAGCTGGAAGTTTTTGATCACATTGTGGCAATTCCACTGAATCGAAAATGACAGTAACGCTGTGTCTGTCACTTCGACAATTACAAACTTATTTGAGGTCTGATTGGCATGACAACAATAATCGAAGTCTATATAGGTAGATTTTCATAATAATCAATTTTCATTTTTCAATATTTCTTAATTTCCACTATAAATAGTGCAATTTGATGGATGATTCTGAACATACATACTTAATACTGCAAAATGACACCTCCCAAACTAAATTGCGTGCGGGTGTAGGGTGAATCAGGCACGCTTATAGAAAAATAACATGTCATAACCAACGTTATTGTGTTTGCTTAACCTTAACAAGACAGGTCTAGTAGCCACAAGTATCTTGTTATTTCATGCTATCCCCGGCTATTCATTCTAATTGGACACTACATACCGGGTGAGTGCAATTCGAGTAGATCCATGGAGATCTCGGAAACGATAAGAGCTACAGAGAGGGTTGAATGAAGGGAAAGTTGCGCAGTTTCATTCCTAACAAAATGCTTTTGCGAAATTTGGAAAATTTCTATTACTTCCGAACATTTTTGGTAGAAACCGAATAATCGCGATTTCATTATTCCAGATTTTTTGGGACTTTCTCTCCTCCTTTCTATGAAATTAAGATATGTTGATTTCAATATACGTGTAGTGAGGTCAAATCCGATGATTTGCCCCAAAATGTCACTGCGTTTGAATAATTTTCCTATCAGAGAGCCTAAAAGAAAAGTTCACTAGCTTGTCAGTGACAATTTGTATTGAAAAAGGTTTGGAGAAGAG